CCCAGTCTTTTTTTTTTTTTTTTAATCCTCACCAGAGGATATGTTTATTGATTTGAGAGAGAGAGAGAGAAACATAAATTGGTTGCATTCTGTACACACCCCAACTGGGGACTAAACCCACAGCCTAGGTACGTGCCCTGACTAGGAATCCAACCGAAAACCTTTTGGTGTAAGGGAGGACACTCTAACTAACTGAGCCACACTGACCAGGGCAGCCCCCCTGCCCAGTCTTTACAGAAAGAGGTGGGGCCAGGCCTGGTTTCAACCTTGGCCCCACCCTTTCCGGCTGTATAAACCTTTGGCCAGCAGAGCCCCACCCCCATGCCTCAGTTTCCAGCTCTGCACTCACCTGAGATGCCATAGAGGTTGGAGGCTTCATAGATAGAATCATTCCTCCGCAGGGTGGAGGCCCTCGATCCCAGTCTGGACAAAGTTCCCTCCGAGAAGCCACCCTTGCTAGTAGCAATGGGACATCCCAGGTCAGCCGTGACCCCCATTACTGCCCCCATCCCAAGCCCAAGGACTCACCTGGGCTGGCTGGGTGAATCCAAGGAGAGGCCCTGCATGTCCCGGCTGAGAGCTCGGGGCTTGGGCACTGGCCTAGGGGCCTTTGCCTTCTTGCACCAGATGGCAAAGCCACCCATGTCCCTAGATGAGGAGGGACAAGGGAGAAGGGTTCTGACCCAAGGAATAGCCAGGGTTGAGAACAGCTGCCAGGAGAAGAAAGGAGGAACCAGGCTTCTGGGTGATCCCAGCCTTTTAGGGAATTTTCCTTTCAGCATCTCAGCCCACATCTTAAGCAACTGCTGGGTCCCATCACTGTACTATATAAACTTCAGACACACCAACTCATTTATTCTTCATGATGACCCTACAAGACTAGTACAACTGTCCGTTTTAACATGTGAAAACTGAGGCACAGAGAGCTGCCAGAAGGAATGGGAGGCCTCAGGGGGGTCCCTGAGGGTCAGAGCATACAAATGGGAGTTGGAGGGCAAGAAAGGCAGCCAGAGGCTGGGGAAAAGCCGCAGCCTTTCCCCTCAGCTTCTTCTTCCCCCCAGGTGCATTACCTGTGCCTTTCTCTCTCCTAAGTTCAAAGTGCCCTTCTACTACCTCCTTAACTTTCTAAATAAACTTTCTCTTATAATTTGAAGGAAAAAAAAAGGCTGTACCCTACTCGAAGGTATCCAGGCACCGTCTTGGTCTTCCCACTCAGCCGGATGTCAAACACAGCTGTGTCCACAGCCCCCAGGGGCACCAACTTCACACACATTCGTTTCTTCTTGGACACGGAGGCCTCTGGGAGTGGAGGCGGGGAGGGGGAGTAAGAAGAGGAAAAAGCAGGGAAGGGACCCAAAGATGGCTCCAAGATGACCGTTGCCAAGGCACTGTTTAAGGCAGTCACCTGGATGGTGTTAGGGTGGTGGTTAAATCATGAATGATATAGCCATAGGAGGGAACTCCATGCAACCTTTAGGAGCCTTTGGGGCAGGCTCATCTTTGGTGACATGGAGCATTCACGGGGTGACCATGTGCACCACAGTGAGGATGGATAGCTGTGGAATCAGACAGAACTAAGTGCCCATGAGCCAAATCCCACCCAACGTCTGTTTCCCTACAAATGGTTTTTACATTTTTAAAGGGTTGGGGGTTGGGGAAAGAATATGCAACAGACACCACCTGGCGTGCAAAGCCTAAAATATTTACTATCTGGCCTTTACAGAAAAAGTTAGCTAACTTCAGTATCAATAGTTATACCCTGAGAATCAAAGATAAATGACAAGACACAGTGTGAGGCAGGGAGAGTCAGATGGTTAGAGCAGGGCCCTCAGGGCTGGAAGGGCAGCTCCAAGGCCACGGAGGGCCAGAAGAGAAGGGGTGCGGAGGAGGATATGTTAGCTAACCCGAAGAGGAATTGGGGTGTGCAAAAAAAGCCTGGAAATGGAAACAGATAACCGCGCGTGGTTCAGCTTGCCTGCGGTGTAAGATGTAGTAGTAACAGTAATAAAACAGGTCGCTGTTGTTACTCTAGGAGAGAAACTGCCAATTGCACATTTTTACGCAGGGTAGGGCCAGTCACCCCGCCCTGGACCAGGGCTCCGAGTCCTCAGCCAACCCTGTGAGCACCCAGTGAATCGAGGGGGTGGCCGAGGCTCAGAAGCAAGCGCGCCTGTCATCCTTCCATCCCTCTCCCTGGCCCTCCCGTCAGGGGCGGGGATGCGCCCCCACCGCCACCCTCCGACGAGAGCCTCACTGGAGTCCAGGGGGTCGCAGACCGGGGAGAAGCCCGGTGGGAGGGGGCTCTTGTCCAACACGACTTGGATATCGGCCACCACGTTCTCCTGCGGATTCTGGGGGTTGGGTGGGGGAACACAGCGAGCGTCACCCAGCAGCAGGTACGGCGCCCCTGGCGCAGGGCCCCGCGAATGGACGGGGGAGTGGGCGGACCCCGGGGACCCGGAGGTGGGCGCCTCTTACCTCCAGACTGCCCAAGGTGCTGAGGCACAGGAAGTAGCCAGATTTTTGCGCGAAGCTTTTGCCGAAGCTGGCGGGCGCCCCCTCCACAGTGCAGGAGATCTACGGCGGGACGTGGGTCAGCGCCAGGCTCCTGCCCCGGCGCAGCCTCCGGTGCCCCTGTTCAACCCGCCCGCATTCAACCTGCCCCCCGATGCCGCTCACCGCACTGAATCCTCGCGGCGGGGGCGCCGAGGCCGACGACCAGGCCAGGCCAGCCAGCGGCGCGGCGTCAGGCCCGGGATCCATCCTCCAAGCCAAGCGCCCAAGGTGGTGGACCGCCTCGGACTTCAGAGCCGCCTCCGGGCAGCCGAGTTCGGTAAGGGGTCCGGACTACAACTCCCAGAAGGCCTTGCGAGGGCGAGGCTCCTAAAGCGTCGTTTGCGTGTGCTCGGAAAGTCGCGGTCCAATCGCATGGGGACGCGGAGGCACCGCCCCGTGCGTCCCCCAGGTGCGTCGCGGAGCGCAGACGTTTGCGGAAAACAACTGTCCTTTCCTTATCTGCCCCAGCAACTTCCGCTGGAAAGACTCCGGCTCAGTGCCAGGAGACTCGCTTGGTGCAAGCGAGAACTACGTTCCCCAGAAGTCCTTGCGTTATTAGCGTCTGTGGAGTCTCTTCCTGGGTTTCCCGGGAAATTTAGGGGAGAAAAATGGAAAACCCACAATTCTAGTTCTGGGAAGTCATACCAAAGGAAACTTTCATGGGTTATGCAGCAATTAACTTAGGTAACAAAAAATACGGACCACCATAAGCCATGAAAACTTGGTATAACTTGAGGACTTGTTCACAGATACAATTAGTTTTATATGTATATATATATATGTTTTTATTTATTTCAGAGAGAGGCAGGGAGAGAGAGAGATAGAAACATCAATGATGAGAGAGTCGTCATTGACCAGCTGCCTCCTGCATCTCCCCCACTGGGGATCGAGGCTGCAACCCAGGCATGTTCCCTGCCCGGGAATCGAACCGTGATCTTCCGGATCCTAGGTGGATACTCAACTGCTGAGCTACGCCCGGCCAGGCGGTTGGTTGATTCTTGTATGTGCCCTGACCAGGAATCAAACCTGCAGCCTTGGCACGTTAGAATGACACTCTAACCAATGAGCTACCTGGCCAGGGCAAGAATGGTTTTTATATTTGTAAATGATTGGGGCAAGAAATCAAAAGAAGAAGAATATTTAGTAACATAGGAAAGTTACATGAAATTCACAAGTCAATGCCCATAAGAAACATCCTGGAAAAGACGACCCAACAATGAGATACAGAAATGAACAAACCACTAGTTCCAATTGAAGTACGCCATTAGTTCCACTGCTTTAGGAAGAATGTTGGCTTGAAACTTTAGGAGTTCCCCAGGTGAAATCTGAAACTGGCCCCCATACACAAAGGTCATGCAGAGATGGCTAAAAAGAGGCAGACCACTTCAGATGGTTAGGTGGCAGTTTAATAAGCAAGGGAATGCATATGAGGCTTGTCTTGAACACTGTAAGATGAGTAGATCTGCACAACACCTGCCAGAATCTTAAAAGTTTACATAGAGATCTTATCTGGGCTCAGACATGTAAACCATCTAAACAGTCTCAACAACACATTACTCTCTCAAGTTTGTGCACTGAAGTGGCTCCTAGTGTGAAAAAAGGAGGCAGAGAGTACATCCCAAGTACAGGAGGGGGGAGGGAGTCTCTGATTACCCTGGTCTACCTCAAAGGTCAACTGGCAATCACGTCCTTTTGATGACCTCCACCAAACATTTCACCTCTTGTGACCATCTCTCAGCATCTTACGAGTTCCCCCTCTTCTGCAGTGTGCCCTGAGTGGCCAGCAAGGGCTTCACTAGCATGGATGTGGCTCATTTAGCAGCTATGTCACTGCACTGGAGGCAGATACCATAGCAACAATATAGATATATGCAAGAGAAAATACAGATTAAGATAATGAATCTCACCCTGGCCAGGTAGTTCAGTTGGTTAGAGCATCATCCCTAAATGCCAAGGTTGAGGGTTCAATTCCTGGTCAGGGCACATATAAGAATCAACCAATAAGCCCAGTGGGTGTGGCTCAGCAACTGAGCATCTACCTATGATCCAGGAAGGAAGGATGGCAAGGGAAGGGAAG